CCATGCGGCATTTCCCCTTTCCGCCGCCGCGTTGCCTTTCTCTTATTTTAGATTCAACTCTCTCATGCAGTGGAGCTGGCCATACAGGCTAGGCCCTATGACATCATCAGCCACAGCCCCCATCAACTGTATAGTACACATGTACAAACAAACCTGTAGTAGTATATATACCCCAATAAATCCAGGAGACTCCTCAGCGAGTCCTCCTGTTGTATACCAACAAACTCTCTGCAGCTTAAGGGGTAACCACTCCCTCATCACTACCTTTATAGTGTGTTCTTGTGTGCGCCAGAGTAACTAACTCTTGGTTGTTACACACTGTGCCATGCAGCACTTTCCTTTTGTTCAAACTCCACCTTCTTGCGCTGCGCTGCCTTTTCTTATTATTAGCTACAACGCTCTCATGCAGTGGAGCTGATCACACGGGCTGTGCCTATGCTATCACCAGCCACTGCCCCCATCAACTGTATAGTACATATATACAAACAAAACTGTAGTAGTATATAAACCCCAATAGATCAAGGAGACTCCTCAGCAAGTCCTCCTGTTGTTTACCCCACAACTAACTTGGTCCTATCCTAAGGGTAACCACTCCCTCCACTACCTTTATAGTTTGTCTGAGTTGTGCGCCAGAGTAACTAACTCTTGGTTGTTACATTAGGACTCGCTCTTTCTACTCTCTCGCACATTGTGCAAACCTGGTCCCCAGGGTTAAGGGGTTATTGTTTAGGAATATCTCATATAGCAGAAGGGTGTGCTTCTAACAACGGCCCCGTAGTGCTCTGGGAGAAAGGACAATTACCAGATACACGGCCCCCAGTGTTAAGGGGAGTACTTAGCTCAGCAGTTGGTGTGGAACCACTGTTGATTAGAATTTACATACAAATCTTCGCTTTCTCTTTCCTCTGACTAGGCCGGGCACTTGCCTCCGCCAGTCTGGAGAAGGGTTGACAGCTTAACAAGTGGACCACCCCCTGACAACCATTCGGACCAGGGTTTACTACATTTTGCTTTTCCATTCGGTACTTTCCGCATTTTGGCATTTCGGGAAATTTTTGCATCGCCACTGGCTACACATTGCATTGCGCCCTCGCTTTTGTTGTTTCCCTTACTCCCCTTCCTTTGCCTAGCCCCACCATGGGCCCCTTCCTCTCCTTTTTATTCTCACCTGATGGTCGTTTCTGGATCCCATTCTAATCCACTTTTTTGTCACCTCCACCCTCCTCCTCCTCATCTTCTTTGCTCCCCCACCATTTCTGATGTCACCACTTCCTATCCGCTTCCGTCGCCGATCCGTTGACTACCACGTGCCACTGCTGATATCAGCAAAGCCCCGGCGGCCGGTCCAAATAGGGCAACAGGTCCATCTTCATGACGTCGATCTGCCATCATATACTATCAAAACATCGGTCGCTCGTCTTGCCTGGTTGGAGCATGGGTGGGTAGTTTTTGAGCTGGAGAAGGTTCATCCCCTTGCGTTGCCCATGTTCATCGCCGTCCCATTCACTTGGGTACACTTATCTTTTGTCCATCGTCTTCGCTACAGCTACACCTACCACACGCTGCCTGGGACTCACTTGTTCCAAATTGGAACTACTCCTCTCCCTCCCTCGTTTGATCAGGTGGTCCAACACAACCAGTCCATTGGTAAGGCCATGGAACTGTTGGATTTGGACTAGGTGGTGGACCGGTGGCTCCAGTTTCTTTTTCTTCAGCAGAACATTCATTTACAGTGCGATTATTTTTGATTTTTGAATCATTTTTATGGACACATATTTTTTAGAATGCCTGACTGACAATAAAGGAACTGTGTTGATACTGATAGTGTTTGCCTGCCCTTTCTATC